GGAATTCAATATTTTTATGAATTCTATAAATAAAACAAAGTAATGTATTATACCCTTATTTTACTATAAACATTACTATTCTTCTCGTGTGTTATAATTTAATAATTTAACAAAATCAATACTCATAGTCCAGGTATACATACCTGGAAAAGCCTGGGACTATCATCAGATGTATCATGCCCATCAGAGTTGTGGAAACCACTAGCTTTACCGCCCAGGAATACGACCATAGAGCCTGCAATTTAAGTACAGTAGTAAGTAGTTTTCATTAACTCATTGAATTGGGATACTAGAGTTTTCACTGTAAAACTAGGGGGTTATGAATCCACAAGCTAGTGATTTAATTGCATTGTACCATATGTAAAGGAACAATATGAATGAACATAACATTGTATAACTTTGGCTTTCTGGTGAGAGCTGCGTCAAATATTTGGAAACTGACATGCCATTCAAAATAAAATGAGCACAGACTAGAGAGAAGTTAAAAATGACATAAGTGCCATCTGAAACAAAATTAACCCTGGTTAAATATTTTAATACTATTAATTCACAGTATGACGCATCTACAATACCGAACAAAATTAAGTTACTGCCAACCAAGATAAAATAAACACCGTCATGAGTGTCATTAGGTCTCACCAAGCTGAACTGGGTGAAAAAAAGACGGACACTAGACAAACAGTTACAGGGCATCCAAAAATAGTCAATAGGCATGCCCAGAACCTTCGTAAGTAGTCAGCTACAAGCAGCTCGACAAGACCTCAATGGAAGTCACATGCTGGGAGTTTGTGACACAGATGGTGGCAGCAGAAGGCTGAATGGAGCACAGATGAGGGTGAAACCAACAAAGTTTGATGGATCAACATCCTGGTCAATATTACACTGCCATTTCAAGGCTGTAGCTAATCACAACACAGTGATGAACTTCTAAGTTCCATAAAAGTGACAATTTTTTGACCAGCTAAGCAACCACAACATTTTCAAGGAAGATCCTATACCATGGAGTTACTTAAATGATTGACAAAGTCATTAGTAAGGGCTCAAGATAAACATTATCCTGTAACCTTGGAAGATTCGCAGCAAGTGATGTGGCTCATTGCCCTGACTAACTCGAACTTGTATAGCCTTTCCTCCGAGCTCACTAGCCAGCCGAAAGGCGTGGATTTCAGATTCTGCCTTTTCATCTGGTGTGCTGTCCTGACCCTGCACATAAACACCATATGCACCTTATATATTATGGGATGCATTCAACTGTGTGGTGGGTTTAATTCTGCAAGCAAATGTTAATATAAATTATCTAAGTAAGTAATACTCTACTGAGGAAATAAATACCAGCCAACAAGAGAAAAAGCTTATGATTTAAGGTTCTCATGGTGGTGAGTCTGAAGATGGCTGTCTTCTGGGTTATTACGCTGTGTACTCAGGTAGAAGTTTAGTAACGTTTCAGATGTCCTTGCTGACTACATCATCAGGGTGATGAGTCCTGATGGTGGAGGCATCAAGGATCTCAAACGTTGGTAAACTTCTACCAGACTAGACAGCACAATAACCCAAAAGACAGCCGTCTCCGAGTTAAAAAGTCTTAGAGTCCTAATACATGGTAAGAAATAATTGTACAGTCTTCCCCCATCAAGTGTATCTGATAAGTGTAAGAGAAACTCCAGGATAATGTACTATTTCTCTTCAGTACATTTATATTACAGTATTATATTCAGAATTTTATTCTTTGGAAATGAGTATGAACATTAACCTACATATTAGACCTGTTTCTAAGAAAACTGTTACTCTTTATTTAGATTCCCATGCGAAATACTTCAAATGCTGTTTAATCACATACCTGCCAGAAATAGATAATGCAGTTCTCATGCCCATTCTTTTCATATGTATATTTGATGACATAGGAATCACCACCAAAGAAAAAGGTATGATTCACTGGTACCAGTTCCAAGTTCTCAACATAGAATCTTTTGAAAGCACCAGATCCATCATCAGGCATAAATCCAACAGCTTTGCAACCACTCTTAGCCAGGGAGTGGAGTTCCCCAGCATGCAGACTGCTCGGGTCAAAATCTTGTTCCGGGATGCTAGCTGTAAATACATAGAACAACATCCCAAGCTTATTCTACATATCTGATTCTTGATTATGACAACATTAGAAAAAGTTCCAAATGAATTCTTAAAGTATAAATGTTTGCATAAACACATTTAAAAAAGTATGTTAAAATAGCATTTATTATCTAAGCATGATTTTTAGAACACCAAAAAATGTTTCCATCTCACACAAAAAATACATACTTTTTTATCAGTGATTTATGGTCAGTATTGGTAGTGGGGTGGGGAGGTTTTCTCCAATGGCCATAGTGGTAAAGGTCAGGGATGCTACAAAGTCTTACCAACAGGAACCCTTGCACTTGAATGACAGATGTGTGCTCCTGTCTAGAGAATTCCTTGCAGTCATGTGTTGTGGATAAGCATTTGGAAATCACAAACTGAAATTTGCAGACTTCAGAATACAAAAAGGCTTAATCATTCAAGCGCACAAAGCACATTCCTACACATTATTACAGCCAGAATGAAGCATGGATACATAGGGAGATTTGTGTAAATTTGTTTCACAAAGCACTTTGTTTCAGAAGTTCTGGCTTTCCTGAACAAGATAAAATTACCACAAAAATTAGTGTTGCTACTAGACAATGCCCATTCTCATCCAAAACAGAAAGTACTGATGATTCATCATGATGACGGAGGCAGTATGACCTCTGAAACGTTGGTAAACATCTACCAGACTACACAGCGCAACAACCCAGAAGACAGAAATCTTCATACTCGCCGCTGTGAAAACCTCAAATCATACAAAAATGTAACTAATGAGGATGGGGAAGATGAGAGTGAGGGAAGACAAAGTGGTGAGTGTATCAGTCATGGCATGGCATTACTATTATCAGACTACATGGGTCACAGGGGGTTCAAATACAGCCAAATTACAGCAGTCAGGGAAAACTGTACTTCTGTCGAGGACGAGTCTTGACAGCTCACAAAAACGAGTGACCATTATGCACTATTTCTGGAAGTAATTGTGGATGCACCAAGCAAAATATTTTGGATCATCTTTACTTTGATTATTCATGTTTACTATCCTTCATTAGCCTGCATAATCAAGAGTTTAACAAGTTCAAAAACTTTATAATCAATAAGAACACAAAATCATATTATATACCAACTATCGTAGATTTACTGGGAGCTTGGTTATTTAAAGACATAACGTCTTGCATCATTACTTCTAAATTTGGTTTCACACCTGCAATTTGTTCCAAAGCGAAGACTCGTCCTAATCCAATTTGATCTTCTGTTTCCCTCCACCCACTGAAATACTGCTTAAATGTAGAAGGCTCTCCACCTTCCACTATCCTTTGGATCTGAAAAATTGAACCAAACAAAACACTGCAACATACAACTTCAATCTTAACGTACAAAAGGAATGGACTCAATAACATTCAACACTCTGTTTATGAAATTCCAGTTTGAAGCAATATTTTCTTTCTGTGACTTTGCCAGTACAATGTTACACCGAAAAGAAACATTAAATACCAAACTTATATTGGAATTTGTGCCAAAGACTTTGGGACAGCACTGCAGAAATGGGACAGATCCTGGTGAAGCAGAAGTTTATAAATCTATGAAGCCTTAAACTTATATATACTGAAAATAAATGGAAAGAAGAAACTATCACACATAATACTATGTGCAGCGCAATTCAGATGTGGCAAATGTGGTAAGTGATCAGAATGCAGAGGCAGCCTGTTGGGAAGATAAAAGAGTTTATCAGATGCATGAGAATGGTAGAAAGTAAGGTAATGGAAATAAAAACCTGTCTTGACAGGGTAGTGAAATTATAAAATTAAATAAATAATTAAAATGAGGTAAGGGGCCAATTTAGGCCATTAGATGTAACCATGAACATTATGGTTCATACCTGTCACCTCATATTGTTAGAACAGTAAAATTTACAATAAACAATACTGAAAACAGGGTTAAGAAACTTTGGGAATTATTTTTCTGCCACAATAATGTTTCTTAGGTATCTGGCCAACAAATATTAACTGTAATATTAAAATACATCCAGAATAACTACATTCATGCATATAAGACTTACGCAGAAGTTTACTTAATGAGGTATGTACCTTAGTCCACACAGGGTACGTGTTTGTGACAAGGAACTTTTCAGCCAACTTCATGGCCTCTAATTTCTCATCTTTTGTACACTGCTTGCCAATCCAAACAAAGATCCCAGATGTGACTGTGTCCAAAATATAGCAGTCCTGAAACATTCATACATTTCCTTCAGTTTCTTTCACCCGGAGTATTTATCTAAAATACAGTAAGGTATATTTTTCACATTTGCATAACTGTTAAAAAATCTAAATTGTAGAAGTATTCTAAATGAGCAAGCACTTCAATAACATTACAAAGTGAATTGCTTGATACATGTTCAAAAGAATTTGAATGTATATTACTTGACCTCTATTCATCAGCATTCTTACAACAATAAAAGAAAGTGTGTTTTAGCCAATTCTATGGTGATATAATATTACAAATTCGTTTTTTCCAAAACAGGTAAAAATAGACTAAACTAAATTAAATATAAAATACATAAATCAAAATGTACAGTAATGCATGCTTCAAGGCAACAGAAGGATGTCACCCCTTCCCCTTTCTGCACAGCTGTTAAGTGAACAGTACAGTGTTGACAGCTTTACTATGCTGCGAGTTCTGAGCTGTCTTTATTTCCCTGGGTTCCATAGTTCATGTTGCAAAGGTGTAAAATGTCAATGAGACCCTGAAGCATAAAATTTGGTGATTTACTATAATTAGTAAATAATCCTTGTTCATCTGGAGTGCCTCTTCTGTCTTCAATCCAATGAAAGTTCCAGTGAATAGATGGATACCACAAGAATCTCATGGAAGTTGTGGTTTTGGCTAAATGTTATCTGTACTTTCAGTCAAACTATCTTTATCACGATCACATTCTTTGTCCAATGAGACTATTTCATCAAAGTCAGTCTCCAAAAATTAGTTCCTATTCAGTTTCTGTTCTCCACCATTATGAGAATAAGAAAATTACATTTTGTTGACAGAAATATTTTTCTACTACTTTCCACTACCATAACTGGAATATATACAGTTTCTGTGTTCAGAACTTTTTAATACTACTTGGTAGAACACCCCCTGAACACACCCACTGCCAGCAAACTACAAATATAGTATAACATAATCACCATTCACACAATGGGTTCACTAAATCTGGATATATTTCATGTTAATATGGTTGCAGTCACATATACAATTACAATAAATTATCCTGGCTTATTCCAACAGAAAACACTGAAACAGTGCTATTGGAAATACTCGTCCTTTATTAGTTTTCCTTTTCATACTCTAGTCTATCTTCATGTCACACACAACCACTTCACAAATGTCAAACACAGCACTACGCACCCGTCAGGCTGCTAAACAAATGCTCCGCTGCCTGTATAACAGCTCACTATTCTTCCACTAATCGGATATCCACTGTTTGTACCGACTATTCCAACACTACGCACTATCCACTTTTACACTCTAGCATTTCACACTGAAACAGTGCTATTGGAAATACTCGTCCTTTATTAGTTTTCCTTTTCATACTCTAGTCTATCTTCATGTCACACACAACCACTTCACAAATGTCAAACACAGCACTACGCACCCGTCAGGCTGCTAAACAAATGCTCCGCTGCCTGTATAACAGCTCACTATTCTTCCACTAATCGGATATCCACTGTTTGTACCGACTATTCCAACACTACGCACTATCCACTTTTGCACTCTAGCATTTCCTATTGGGTACTATTTCAAATACTCGCAATGTATTGACTTTACAACAATCTTGGGTTCACGTTCAGATAAATTCTACTCTTTCCACACCAGTATGCCTCTTTTTAAACCACTCACAGCTGGTCTACCGGTTATGAAACCACCCACCAGTTTCTTTGTCTCTGTAGAACCTACGCTTAATGGCGGTGCAATTTCGAAGCTACAAAATCATGACGGTACACAGGCTGTCGGATGCTTATAGGCTAGCGGGAATGAGGGAGAATTGCATTGTAACACCAGGTCAGTAAGCTACAGCAGAGGAGGGGCCTTGCAACAATATTATGCAGCAAACTACGAACACTAGGTAAGACAGGCTACAATTACTAGATGTGACTTCTGACACACTACAAACACATTAGTGAAGTATAATTTATTTCAACATCTTTTTATCATTCCTTCTAGCTTATATTCAGATGATGCCAACAAAACCTTGAATGCATGACAATGTCATGACCATATTAATGGGACATGAAAATTTCACGGTAAAAATAACTTTCATAAGGTTGATAATGATAAGTACTGCTGAGTAAGCATATCACAATAGTGTACATAATTGTAAACAAAATTAGTGTTGAAACTGCTATAAAATGGCTCAAAATAAAGGGCTACTTTAGCAAATATTTTAAAGCAATGCATGTCCAGCTGTAATGCAATACACATATGATAAAGGCCAAATCTTCATACACATTGGGTTACATTGCCATATCTTAATTAGTTATTTAAATATAACCACTTTAACTATAGTACATTCAGGGGAAAAAGGTAGAAAAAAAAACTACACTTAATTCTATGCATGTAAATGTGTATGAGACATAGAATTCTACTGAGATAAATATTTCAGTATTTAGTGCATCTTTAAAATGTTAAACTTCGCTACGTAGAGGGCAGTTGTCCCTCTATAAATGCATCATGCAATTACACAAATGTAAAGTGCATGGAGGTAAAGTTCCTAATATTCTAGACTTCGGTCCTGAACAAAGGTTGAGGCGACTTTATCTCTGGGGTATAAAGTGACCAGAGCATGAAGCTCACCATTCACTTCCATCTAGTGTCAAGATGTAGAATACAAAGAGCTTTTATCTCCATGCCTCCCATATGTGATGGTGTTTAGGCACATACATTAATTCAATTTAAAGCTATCTTAAAAGCCAAATCATGCAAAACTGAACTTAAAGACACATTTACATTACAAGAAACCAAAATAACCCGATATTAGTTCAACATTCTCACATGCATCCATAACATCTGATTGTAAATACTAATAGAATAATGTGAATAGCATTGTCTCATACCTGTCCACCATGTTCCTGTAGTAATGAAAATAACACTTGCATTAATTTCATGCTCAAACATACAAATATAAATTTTCTGAGTTGGGTATTCAAACAACATGTAAACTCTAAAGTTTAAAATAAAACACAATTCAAAACCACACAAAAACACATTTTTTAAAAAACCAACAATATGCAAAATGAACTTTAAATCAAATCAAGGGAATGCAAACAATAAAGTGTTCTAGTCCTGATGTGTCCCAATTAACCGGAATCCACGGTAATAGAATAGCGTAATTGTTTTGGAACTCATTCCTTCTTTTTTTCCACGTAATATTAAGAGCAAAAATACCTCTGAAGACCCTGGAAGGGCAGAGTTATGTTTAGCTTTTATCTTATTTGGTCAGTTTTTTCTAATTTTTGGGCCCCTCTTGTATTGATTTCATTGAGTGCTACAATTTAATTATATTGCCATTCTGCAGCGAGTTGTAACAAAAATCTGCAGAATTTAAAGGCCTAGATCTTGAGTGTAATGTTCCAGTATAAGCAGAAATTAAACAACAACAAAAATTTTTCTTTGCTATTTTTCCTATGGATTTAATATTAATCGCAAATAAATGCATTAACCATACAAGAATTATGACTAATATTTATATTTACTTCTGAGGTAAATTAAAGTATGTTATCTTATACATAAATGATAATCATACAGGGTTTAGCTTCAAACAGAACTCCACATTACATCAGTTTTACACTGAAAAACTTTGTAACAGGTATGTAAAGTCTTAAATTTCCTATTCATAAGGCATACTTCAAAATAAATTTCATGCAAACAGATTCAGACACACCTACATAAAGATACCAGACAAAAACTCTTCATGAACAAAGCATAAGATCATGTGTATAAGCTGTGTGTTTACTTACAGTTGAGTTTAGCATATCTTGGTGGAGAGGTTTCTCTCCGACTTTGTCCATGATCATCTCCCCACTTGCGTCACTTACATGGTACAGAGTTACAACAGTCTGCAATATTAATTTACAATCATAAGTTTTCAGACACGCAATGCAACACAGGAATTGATTAACATACCCAAGCAATTTTTCCCTGCTGCCACATCGTACTTAATTTAACATTTAAAGTAATGAAAAATTAGAAGTTTTATAATAAACCACTACACAGGACACATTCAGTCTAATCAACATTCCTACAATCCATTTCAATATTATATTTCCATTTCTATGTATAGTATTTCTTAAAACTGGTTGCTATTAAAGACATTCTAACAAAATTCTACACAATGTAACTTTCAAAATTTGTGACATGCTTCACCTCTATTACGACAGAATATTTTTCTTTTGTATACTGTTTTCAAATAACTTGCAACTAATAATCTTTTAGAGTGAGAAAATACAGAGTGATTGTAATGTCGTGCAACTCACATTAAAATATTTATTGATGGTTGCAATTTAATACAACTGAATTTTGAATAAAAATTTCCTTGGATATTATCCATCGTCTAGTAAAATATAAAACGTAAAACGACGTTTCAGAGATGGGACTCTATCTCCGTCTTCAGGTTCCTACACAGTTGGGCCCACTAGATAGAGCTAATCCCTATCTCCAAGGAAATTTTTATTCAAATGACTCTTCACCATCGTCAAGAAGTTTTAGATTTGATATACAATTGAATTTTATTAATAAACACACAACAATGCTGCGACTATACAAGAGCACACGGAGGTCACATCACTTGGTTACCTGTCTCTCAGTAATCTTCCAACAGTAATAGTGCAACGGCTTTCTCACAAGTGCAAAGTGTTCATTGTCAAACACTACCTGGCATCTCATTCTTACTCAACTTGCCAGAATGAGTTTAAAGATACGTTTTCCTATCCCCCTGTGCCAAACAAATCAACCGTTTCCATGACACACAGGAAGCGTGCAGTACAGAAACTGTACCAATTGTCCTTCAGTGTTACGTGACAATACAGAGCGTGGTAGTCATTCCCAAAAACTTAGGGCAACATTGTTTTTTGTTTTCTGATTCCAACATAACATAACTGTCAGGAATAGGTTGCATGAACTTTCAATCATCCTTTACAAAATTAATTTATTTTTATTTTGTAAGAGGAAACTTAAAATATTTTTTTCTGGTCAGCCACAAACCTGATCTTAAGTCAAACATTTACACACTGGGAGGTTCCAGTCTCAGACAACATTTACTATATATCACAGTACAGTCTGACCAAAGTATCTGTTTCAATGCAATTTACAGATGAATATAAAAAGTGAAAGATTACTTTATCACCAGTTCTGTATACATATCACATTGAGAAAGAAGAAGTTACTATTATAACAGATGATTGCTATACATCAACACATCATTATTTATTGATTCAAAATTTAATTACTTTAATGTTATGAGAGTTTCTTCAGTATAAAAACTGAACCATTTAACAAATCCTTACCTCTTGTTTCTTCTCAAACTCTGCATCATCTTCACCTGTTTCATCAGCAACTTCATCTGGTGAACCTGAGCCAAGTGCTTCAAAGAAGGAAGCCTCAGCTTGATCACTATATTCATCTGCAAGGAACTCCGACATTACACACGGTTCAAAAACATGTTAAAGATATTATTCAGACGTACAGAAATGTTAATTCTTACTTGTAACAAAGGCAAAAAGACAGGTGAAAACTGCTCTCCCTTGCACCCACAGTTTCAAGAGCATAAAGTGTTGTAAATAATTTTCAAAGTGTGCTTTTTTGTGATTTTGTTTATTTCACTGGACATGCTATTCATTTTGCGCAGATATAATTTTATTCCTGCAGAGCTAATTACACTACGGCCATCACATTGCATGGAATCAAACATCAGTTTTCCTTCTGTTTCTTTAAATATTCACCATACCAAAAAATGGTTCAAATCAAACATCACAGACCTCAATTTATATATTTATATCGTGCACATACATTTTCTAAAATAAGTCAATTTTGAGAAAATTTGCTGTACTAATGCTTGCTGATTGCAGTCTATCACCAACAAATTGTGGAAGAGGAGCATAAAGAAAGACCTTGTCAAAAACATGGCACATTGACATTACCTTCCTTAAGACATCAGTAATTTAGCAACAACTTATTTTGAACTGCAATACATCAGACTGACCAAACTTCCTGTTATGTTAAAAGGCTGTTTCCTTACCACTCCACATCTTCACTGATCAAGGACACAGTTCAACTTCTCAGTGAGCTACAGCATATTGTATGACACATTACTTCCAAGTTAAAGCATAAAAACTTTCCCATCTACTTTTCAAGTTAATAATATTTTTAAATACTACAAGTTTCCCATCTAAATTTCTTACAATGAATTTTTAAATACTACAAGTTTCCCATCTCAATTTCTTACAATGCAGTTCCCAACCACGCATCAGAAGAATCATTTACTATTTACCAAGAACTAAAACATTAGTAGAGACATCTGACTTGCCTATGATATGAATGTGAGCTCGACCAGCGTGATCTTGGTCCCTGATTTGATTGGCAGCACTGATGGCCTTCAACCTCTCTGTTCGCTTGCTGTTTTTACCCACATACACAAATATCTCTTTCCCAGCATCCAAGATAAAGCAGTCACCTTTGTTCATTGATGATACATGTAGATTTACCTAGAAAGGATAATACAATATGGACTTCCATCCAGGTTACTGCAGCCAAAGTTCCTTGTTGCAAATGTGAGAAATGTACTATCAAGTATATTCTATTATTACGAGTTCAGCAACGTACTGGGCCACGAGTGAAGTCCTGACTGAGAAACAATGTTATGACATTGTGTTGACTTGCTCAGTCTATATGTACCTCAGACACATTGATACGAGTACAGAGAATTGGCGGAATTACGACGGAAACCAAATTACTTGATAAAAACTGGCCCAAAATTCCCCTATCCATCTCAAAATTCACATGGACTGCCCTGGAATTGAACTCAGGCCTCAAAATTTTTAACATGAAATCATTTTTTGATATCTAAACAAACCAATGAGGCTATCATATAATATTTCTGTAATAACTAAACATAAGCTTTAAGTACTGGTACCATTTTGGTATTATGAAATTTTCATTCTGAATTGTGTTCTACATTGTTTTTTCAAACAGAAAATCTTCAGTTGAATTATACGGTAAGACTTGTCTCCAAACACTGAACACAAAAGTTTATGCAAGTACATTAAATAAAACCTGATATTAAATGCGCTGTTCACACCTGTCTGACTCGAACATTTCGTTTGCCCTTAACTTGGAATAGCTTCTTTTCCACTGCATCAGGATCCACATGGTGGAATCCACTGGCCACTCCCCCAGGTAGGTATCGAATACCTGAAACAGTGTACAAGCCTCCATAATTCTTTAACTTCAGCACAATACTAGCATCATATTCAGTATCACTCTTATCAATATCATCGTAGGTAACAGCAGTAATACTATGGTATCAAAAAAATATTATCAGCAACATCAATCACAGATATAACAACACAAATGACCAATTGAAACTGGTTTAATGTGAAATGTGTAACGTGAATAACCATGGCAAGTGAAGTTTAAGCGGCTCATCCACGTACGAGTTTGACTTGCGAGTCTGGCTCAGCGAGCTTGACTCGTGAGCCGGGCTCGGATATATTTCACCACACATGCGTAGCAGACTCGGTTCGTGACATCCCACCCACAAACGAGTTTTTTATCTCAATGGAACCCGAGCCGAGCTGGACTCGCAAGCCAGACTCGTACGTGGATGGGCCGCTTTAGTCTTACTCTATGTACATCTTTACACTTATAGTGATTACTAGCAGTTGTTGGAAGTACCTGTGTTGAAGCTGTTCTCCTGTATATTTTCTATTTAATATGTTCAGAAAGTGCTTAAGGCATGAGCAGATAATGATTGATATCAGGGTCTTACACATCAAAAAGTGGAGGAGCTACATACATGTAGAAATAATCAATAACACATCTACTAAATAATAATATGCCGCAGCGGCTCCAACTCTGAAATTAAAGAATATGAAAGAGAAACATCCTAAATACCTGCTGTAAAGATATGCAACTAGCACAAGAATGCTATTGACCGACGAGTTACTTAATGAGATCATATGAAGTGTATAGGTTATGTAGCAAGGAGAGATAAACAAGAAAGTGATCTGTGTACAATTCAGATTAGTTTGTACCTTGGCCAAAATTTACACCACGTACTGCCCAAATATAAATCAGAAATTATGAATGAGTTACAGCAGAAAATTTATAAACTTCTTTAACTCCTGGATGTTTCAAATGTTATCAGACCATTTAATATAAATTCATATTATCCCCTATATTTGGTTATATTAGATGCAGCAGAATATATTTCATTTTACTTTGTTTTGTTATGTTAGGTGTGGAAAGTAAGCAATAAGCTGTATTCTTACTACACGATAAGGTACATAACAGGAAGTATCAAAATCAGGGTTTGAAGTATGGATATCATGAGTGTAAATTAATTATGCTCTAAGCTGCTTGCTTATCTTCATACCAGACTTGAAGTATGAGAGGAACAGCTGAGATTCGTGGTCCTGCACTTCACGATGCTGCACGGGAATCCCGCCTAGCGAGTCATCCAATTCAACCCCCCCCCCCAGCCTCATCCTGATACACACGACCATAAAGCACCACTCTGATAGCTACTGATACTTCATAGGAAAATCGTCATTATTGTAAACATCAATTTCTTTGATATTAATCCCAAATTATGCAGGCTGCAAAGTTAATTATAATATATGGTACAACATATTTAATACTGCATGGTGTGATGTTACGAGCATTTCACTTCTGTGCGTAATTTACCGAGTTTCCATTGGGGCATACAAATTAGGCAACATTTTATGAAGTCACATGCCTCCCCTTGCCTTGAGGCTCTGTCAGCAATGCATAATTTTTAATAAGCTGCCATGAAACACTGATATTCAGAGATTTGGGCTTCAATGTCACGGAAACTGAGGTGTATATGCTGGCTTCCCGTTACAAATATTCTTAATTAACCATCTGTCCGGTAGATTCAATACAGTTGATATCAAATCCCACCAGTGGCTATGACACTGAACCATCCACCTCACAACACACTTCCTCCACGACCCATCCCATTTCTTTCTTGGTCCTGCAAATGATCATATCCCCCCCCCCAAAAGTAGATGTTCCACCTTTGCAGCTTCCCAAACTTCATAACCTCAACAATATTAGGTGAACTGCACAAACCACAAATTTCCCAGTTATGTAATAGAACTTACTTGAGAAGTTTCACTTCCTAGCCAGAAGTGAATATCCCAGCTGAAACTGGTTTTGTTCTTCTTTGTCTGAAACAGCAGTAAATATGATAGTTAATATTTAATTATTAACAAACCTGCAATAATCCTCTGCGCAGAAATACAGATATACTTACAAACAGAACAATATATGAATCTCCTGAATAGAACTTCCCATAGTCCTTTGTTGGATATGGGACTGCATCAAAGTTCTAAAACAAAGAAAGAAACTCATTATGCTAACAGAATATATTTTCAGTCTACTAGTTTCAGGTCATTATTATATTTTTTACTTTGAAAGATATAATCTGTGATAGTTTCTGAAGTGCTGACTACAAAATCAAATTTTAAAAATCAAGGTCTCAAAATATAAAACATAAAAATTACACAAGTTATTTATAAACCTCTTGGCCTTGTATTTGAACAATGCAAACATCCAAGTGAACTTCATTCACATTTTTCTGCACTGAAAATTTATATAACTTAATCTATTTTAACAGAGATGGAATTCACAGTACGTTATTATGGGTTAAGACACTGTGTAGACTCATACTTAGATATCAATGTTCCACAGAAACATACTGTCTCTATCTGCAGCCCTCAACATTGAAACAACATTCCACCTGTGTAAGAGTCCACACACCGCCAAACCCAGAACACAAACGCCGCTGTCATAACCTCAAATCTCAGAGATGGATATGCTTTAAATCCAGAGGGCAGGGAAAATACTCGGTTCACAGGGGGAGGCTGGAATTCATTTAAAAATGAGTTGACTGTCCAAAACACCAAAGTACAGCCGTTTATCCTTAAGCGCGATAGTCCTGTTTTTGGAAAACACGCGTTATAGAAACCTCTGGTTCAATTGGAATTCAGGGGAAAGGGGTTACGCAGTTCGAAATGTGTCACACCATAGTGTGCATTTGTTTATTGAAAACCACACCGCAACTCGTTCCATTAACATACTACGCACTAGGGTACAGTGTTGACCCACACCGAAATTTTGACATTTCTCTGACAGTGTCGCTGGTAGTCAAATGAATTCACTGTTAGTATATTCGTAGCCAAGTCAGAACAATTGGAGCCCTTTTCAAATCTGCGTTTATGGGTTACTTCTCTGAATGTATTTATTTGCTTTATTTCGATCGCGTACAGCAACCGGCCGCTTATGGAAACGGTTCTCTCTTATAAACCAACGGCGTTGTGAAAACTAGTGATGATCGCCCTGATGATGGAGGCTGCAAGCACTTCTGAAACGTCGGCAAACTTCTATTAGGCTGAAGATTTCTGTCTTGTGGGTTGTTGCGGAGGTCATATTGTCTCCGTCATCAGGGCGATGAATAGGCTACATGGCGCTACAACCCCGAAGACAGCCATCTTCGAATACAATGTTTTCGGAACAGTGCAAATGCTTCCAGTTATTTGTAGCAGTGAGATAATGTGTGAACATTTCGAGATAAGAATTTACTTGATGACGTTGGCGAAAGGACAACTGCTTTTCCACTGCCTTAGCAAAACTAAAGTAAAGACGTCCAGCTACACGTCTATGCAGGAGCTTGAAGGGGGGGGGGGGGGGGGGGGGG